TCTTTGCTGGCCGCTCTTCCCCATATATCTTGAGTATCTATATACCTATATATAAAGGTATCTATATACCTTTAATAAATAAGAAAATTATGAAATATTTTGAATATATTGTTTTAGGCTGTTTTAGATGAAATATATTTAGCTGCTTGTAATTAATTTCAACTAAATTTTTTTCCTAGAATAGGCCTTGTATATACAGTCACGGACAAAGTTAAGTAACATTATTGATAAAATTGAAGCTCGAACAATAAAAACAAAATTATTTAAGTCAGGATCTACGCAACTGCAATAACTTTATGTTTTTTTAAAAATTTGATTTTTAAAATCAAAAATTTGATGAAATATGTTTTGTCAGTAATATATATTAAAAATACAAGAATATCATGTCTGATTTTCATTTTAGTACTTTGTTGCACCACCTTTTGCTTTAAGAATGCTTCTAAACGTCTTGGCATGCTTTTTACAAGCTTTGACGTGACGTCAGTACCAATTGAATTCCAAGTTTCACTAAGAACCTCAAAAAATTCTTTTTTATTTGTTCATTTTGAAGGAGTTATTTTAGATTTTAAAATTGCCCATAAATTTTCAATGGGGTTAAAGTCCGGGCTTTGTGGTGGCCATTTAAGGATGTTAACTTTACTTTTTTTGTGGAAATGTTGTGCCACTTTGCTGGTGTGTTTGAAGTCATTGTCTTGTTGAAAAAAGAACTTGCGATCTAAATTCAATTTTTTAGCGGATTGACATAAATGTTTGGAAAGCAAATCAACATACAATTGTCCTGTCATTATACCTTCAACATTCACGAGTCTTCCCACACCATTTGAAGCAAAGCATCCCCAAACCATAATTGAGCCACCTCCATGCTTGACAGTTTTTCTAAGATTTATATCTAAAAGTGCATCACAAGGTCTGCGCCAAACTCTTTGTCATTTTTTAAAGCCAAATATTTGAAATTTACTCTCATCAGACCATAATACTGAGTTCCAAAATGCCTCATCCTTGTTAATATGCAGTTTTGCAAATGCTAAGCGTTTTTTTTTGTTTATACCACTATTGAGGGGTTTACTTTTTTGAAGACGGTTTATTAAACCACTTGAATTAAGTCTTCTCTGTACAGTTCGACTGGAAACATTTAATTTCAGATTTTCAACAATCTGTCTTGAGGTTATTGTTGAATTTTGTTTTGCTATTCGCGCAATTAGCATATCAGTTCTTGTAGAAGTCTTAGGGGGCGACCAAATCTTTTCTGATTTTCAACAGAACCAGTTGTTTCAAATTTTATACACATCTTTCTAACACCACTTATCGATATTTGATATTTTTCTGCACATTGCTTGTAAAGCAATTTTTTTCTATCACAAATGACCCGAGATCGGATGTCCAATGAATAATTTTGATGATGAACCATTATTATTGTTAGTTTTACTTTTTCTAAAAATAAATTCCGAAAAAATAAAGTTTAAAATGCTTATTTTTAATAAATTTAACAAAATCTCTTTAATAATAATCATTTTTAATAAATAGCTATTGACAAAAGTAAGAAACATTTGAGTTTTTATTGAAGTATAATGATATTTCATAATAAAAACTCAAATGTTTCTTACTTTTGCCACATTTATTTTTGAAAAAAAATTTGTGAGATAGCTAATTTTGTTTAATAGATTAACTTTTGCAAGGAATTATAAAAAGTTATAAATGTATTTATTTTTCTTAGGAATCAAATTTAAAAAAAAACATAAAATTATTGCAGTTATGTTGATCTTGACGTAAATAATTTTGTTCGTATTGTTAGAGTATCAATTTTATCAACAATGTTACTTAATTTTGTCCGTCAGAATTTATATGTTTTTTGTAATAAAGATTTTTTTATAATATAAAGTTTTTTACTGAATTTTTATTAAAAACATCTGCAAATAATTTGTAGTTAAGGATTGATGAACTTTTTCATGTTGCTAAATATTTAGATAGAAAGGTTAACATAAAATTACGTTGAATATAATTTTAATGAAAAGATAAGAAATATCCCAATAAAAAGTTACAACAATTATTTTTAACGTAACTTCTTTTGTTACAAATATTTTGTTGCAAATATTTTTACATACCATCATTCAAAAGTTAATGTGTTTTTTTTAAAAATTAATTACTTCTTTTATCTTAGCGCTAGTTTAAAAGTTAAAAAATGATAAAAAGTAGCTTCACCAAAATCGCTCAAGGTGTAGGTAAATCGCTTTACGCAGAACACTTTAAAACAAGACCTAGTCTTGAAAATGTTCGCGTAGGCCTTAGCCTTGAAATTCTTATTCTTGGCCTTGGACTTGAAACTTTTGTCCTTTTCTTTGGTCTTGAAACTTTTGACTTTGGCCTTGCCCTGGTTTTTGCTACTTTTGGTCTTGTTAATAAGGTGAAGTATGATTTTAAGGTGTTGTTTTATTTTATGATTTGCAGGTATGATTTTAACTAAGTTATTAACTAAGTCATTATATTTCTTTTGAGTTTATAT